GATCAGAGTCACGGAACGGATTAAGTTCGTAAGTAGAGGTACCACTGTATATTTAACATTTTGGGGGGAAAACTAGTCTTCCTTGCAACTGAATATTCAAAAGTACAATGCTATCATAATAGATAACTGATCACTTGTAATCTGTGATCTTTGAGATGTTCAGCTTGCTTTAGTAAGGAGTCAGAATGTCCACGTGCTGCTAGATCTCTGGAAAAGAGACCCCTATTCAAATTCAAAGTGAGAATTTCCATGTGATTAAATCTGGATATTTTAAATATATGTTTGACATGTCTTGTGGCAGTGAAACAGGCCTATAACCCTTTCATGGTAACTTAACTCACCTTTTAAATCTCTCACCACAAGAGAAAAAAAGTTACCAAAATATAGCCAAGTATATCTGTATCTGTACATATACATACATACATACACACACACAAATGCACATGTATATAAATGTGAAACACTTTAACACCCCCTGCCCTATATATTCAGTTGAGTGTTTGTGAAGTCAAATAAACAGAATGAGTGATCTAGCAATAATAATCTTTTATTGTAAAAATTAATGTTAAAAAAATCCATAAGTCTATTTTCATTCAGCTTTGCTTTACAATGTTTCAAGTGGATTTAATTTCTTCTGGTAATAGGAAGAAAACTTTTAAAATACTAATTAATAAAAAGAAAAAGAAAACTTTTAAAATACTAATAAAATTGTGCAATTGACTGGTATCGTGATTCTTACGTTAATATGTTAATCCCATTTTATAGAATTTAAACAGGTTTATATAGTTATTCGGACTGAACAAACCATACAGTGTTTGACAATAAAATGCTATATATTACACGGAAATAGATAACAGGCCTATTGGCTTACCTGAGAAGAATATGTGTGACCATCGGATCCACAAACAGGATTGGTATAAATTACAGGACATTGCTTGCATTTTGATGAAAGAGAACCAACTCTCCATTGTTTATGGCTTAGACCAGCTTCTTTCATACTGAAAGAAACCAAATCAGGCAAGAAATGTATGAAAAAGGTTACCAGAAAAGTATAAAATGTATTATGAGTAATTAAATCATGGAACTTCACATGAGCTGTGTTCATACATAATACTAAGCTAGGAGTTTTAAACCACACTTTGTTGAATAAGTCACAGTGACCTTGTTCATAAATAATACAATGGTTAGCCATTTTTTATTTTATATATTGAGAGTCAGAGAGGAGTGAACACAAGTCACATGGTGGGGCAGGAGCTAGGAGTAAATGAGGCCAGGCCTAAATCTTGATGGGAACTCCATACTTTTTTAATACACCCTTTTCTCTCTGATTCCTTCTTTGTCTCTCCCAGACAGCAGGTTGTAGAAAACAAACAGATAGTACTAAAGGTCTGAATCGATATCTTGGAAAAATGTTCATGAAACCAGTTTGACAAGTACATGAAATTAGGCTAATGATGGGTTTACACATTACATTAAACTCAAAACAGCAAATCACATTCTGGCTTAATATTATTTGAAAACTAAGCCACTGTTTTTTTTTCATGGCTTAATTTAAAATAATATTTACATCTTATACATTCCCAATTAATACTTGGCTACTATAGAGAAGTGTTTACAACTCCATAAAGGATAAGAAAGAAAAATGGATTGTCAGGATTGGGTAACATTAAACAGATTTAGCATCCTGCATAACTATAGCCATTGTGGCTTGTAAATATGGTTATGGCTTAGTATTTGTTCAAGTTTGATTAAAGAAAACAATGTTTCAACCAAGTCTATATCTCACACATAACGACATTCTAGCAAAATTATTTACATTTGAGGATGCTGGAACAGTCTCTAAGAAAGAGAGATAATCTTCATGAAGATTGTGTACTTCATACTCAGAGAAATGCTATGCAAACTCAGACTAGAAAGAAAAGTATATGAATCATCATGAAAGTTAACAGTATAAACCAACATTTAAGAGAGAATAAAATGATTACTGTGAGTCAACCAATAACAGACTAATCAATTCTAATCAATAAATTATGCAGAAGCCATGTGTTGAAATACTAACTTAAATGTAAATTCTTAGCTTAACTAATTATAATTTTCCACTTATATATTTTTTAAAAGGACCCATATAACACCTTTGCTCCGTGAGCTGCATTGGGTACCGGTTTGCTTCCAGGTCCAATTCAAGGTGTTGGT